ATATATTTTTTTATAGTAATAATATATAATAATAAGTGTGAATATAGGTATGAACATATAGTATACAGGTATGAACAAATTGGTTTCAATCTAGTTTGAATCTAGTTCAAGGGTTTAATAAAACAAATTATCTAATTTGTAAGTGTGAACAAAAATGGGTTTTTTTGGTTTTGCTTTAATAATATATGGATTTTAATTTTAATTAAAGAATAAATAATAATTATATATATTTTTAATATAATAAAAATATACAAAAATAAAAAATTATAGTATCAAAAAGTGTTAGTCATATATCTAGCAACAATCTTTTCATTAATCCATCATTTCTATCAAAATATTGTACTGTATATATAGCAAATATATGGACTTTGTAGGCTTGTTTAGTACAATAATAAAAATCTAGCATTTATTTAGTGGGTCGTGAATAATAAATTAACAGATAATTGATAGTGAACAATGATAGGGACCAAGCCAAATAATTTGGTTAGGGGAGTAAGAATTATTGTTGAAGATTTGAGTCTTTTAGTATCTTTTAAGAAACTAATTTATTTTTTTTAAATCTTTTTTCTTTCATAAAAAAGATTCATTGGTGATGATCTTTTTCACAGCTATATTCTTATAAAAAAAATTAAAAATAAATATAGTTATTAAAAAATATCACAATAATAAATCATGCAATGATCAATTGAAAAATAAATTTAAAAAAAAAAAAGAAAAATTTGTTTATTAATCGAATCAATAAAACATTAGGAGGAAAAAACACCACAAAATTGCATCATTTCAATAAACTTGCATTGAAAATGATAGAAAACAACAAATTCTTAAAATAAGATTGAAAGTGTTTTAATTTTATTAAAATAACATAGTTTTGAAGCATTTTTTCTCTTTATTTTTTTTAAAATCTTTTGATAAACACTAATATTATAAAAAAAATACTAGAATATTTCTTCTAGAAAGTGAAATCTAACTTTAATTGATTTAACATAGAAAATGATTATAAAGTGTAATACCCAGGAATTACTTACTTAAGATTTAAATAAATTATTTAAGCTCTTAGAGGGTGTATATGTGATAGGATTAAATATGAGGTTTAATTATAATGAGGTGAGGAGTTCAGGGACTAAGTTGTAAAAATTCCTTAGGGACTAGCTAAGTTGAAAAAATATCATAGGGACTAGGTTGTAAAAAAAACCATTTTGTTAAAAACCTAAATCAAAATTGTCTAACGGTTTTCATTTCTTTAGGTTCTGGAACGTCTTCTTCCTCTCGCTAGTAAGAGAACCTAGCACAAGGTATCTGGCAATACAAGAGTCGATCTAAGGTAATTTGTCTTGTTAAGCTTAAGTTTAGATGATTAAAAGAATTGTGGGGTGGAATTTAAAAGCTTTTCTCAATATTTACTTATTAGGCCCTCCTCTATCTCACAAATCCTCACCAAAAGAGAAGGAAAGACACCAATGGGGGCTGTTGTTCTCAAGCATAGCTAGAGATAATTTATTGTTCATGGTTGGTGAAATATTTAGGAATTTTGGAATGAAGAGAATGGGTAGATGCATAGTTAGTGAGATTGATTGTGCTACAACAAATAGATTTTGGATTTAATATTAAAATTATGAATTTGGGTGGTGGCGTGAGGAATTTTCAAGGGGAAATTATTTATTTAGGTGGTTAGTTTCCAAAAGTGTATGTTGAAGTGGTTGGGTTTGAGGAAGAGGACGTTAGTGGCATGGGTTATAGAAATTATTTCACATAGATACTTGATAAGTAAAGGATAAATTTTTACTTGGTGATTGAATTATGTTTACTTGATGTTCATTTAGGTTTCGAATAGTTGTGTGGTAATTGCATTTTGAAAGATAGTTGTTGAGGTAAGTAGCTATACTCTCTAGTGTTCATAAAAAATTAATTTATTTAAATGAATATTTTTCCAATTCTAATTTATTTTATTTTAATGATTTTTGCTTAAATGTTTTAATCATGGAATGAAATGACTTGTGGACCAAGCATGATGTTTTATTTAAGTTTGAGATGAGATTGTGGCCATGTGAAGGTGGTTAATTTAAATTTGTTTTTCTTCATTTTTATTGAAATGGTAATTTTGGAATAGTTTTTGTATCATCCTGGCTCTATGATTAACCCCAATGAGGGTTGAGTTGTTTGTATTGTGATAAACCTAGGATCTATGGATTGTGAATTATGGATAGTGTATCATGGAATATGGGTTGTGTATCATGGATTGAGGATTGAGTATTGTGGATTGTAGATAGTGGATTGTTACATAGCCATAAAGGATGAAAAATGGATTACTTTGGTTTTGAGGAAAGAAATGTGTGTTTTTTTTTTTAATCGTTTCATTTTACAATAAAACTTAATTTAAACATTTTTATGCTTGGTTGTGCTGGATGGATATACAACTTACTAAGTTCTTAAACTCATGCTTTTCAAATTTCATCTTATTTCAGGTGAACAAGTATAAGCATTGGGATTTGCATCGGGACTAAGCGATCGTTAGAATAAATTGGTAAGAAATTAGTTATAGTTCAATTAAAAGATTATTTGGTTTTATGGAATATGTTGTTAAATATTTTATGTTTTTGGCTAAGAGATTTGTGCCTGAAATTTGGAGACCATTTAGTTGTATTATTATAGTAGTTTATTGAAGGAGCAGGGCTATGTTAAAATTTTTTTTATGGGTGGTTGTATTAATTTTCAAAATAGATAGCCTTACATATTGATGGAGTCACTCCATAGATGTGTAGCGTTTGTTATGCCACAGCTTTTGGGTTGAGGCGTGACATAAAGTCGATTATGATGAAAGGTAAAAACATACCTTGATGCCAAAAAAAAAAAATATTTTTTTATGTTCAAAAAAAGCTTTAAATTATTACACGGAATATTAAGAAAGAAAATAAAAGAATGTTAAGAAAAACTATAAATTTAAAGTTATTTAAATAGAGGATGAATTTTTTTGGCTTAATAGACGTGGTAATGTTTAAGAACCCTAATTCCGAATTAATCAAATTGGTATAAAGTTCATTTCATTTAAATCATATCCTTATTTTTTGAAAATTCTTTATTTAGGTTCTAAATATTTTCTTTACATTTAAAATGATCCTTGAAATTCATACTATAAAAACAAAATTTTTAACAAATAAAAATTAGAATATCATATTAAATGTTTTTCAAAAGTTTTGGGGTGGCAACTCATTGGCTCTATCATTGAATGACATATAGCAAAAAGTGAGTAGCAAATATTGAATCTTAAATTATGTAACCGTTTTGTTATACAATAATTTAAAGACACTGATTGGTACATATTCTTATTCAACACATTGCACAACACATTACATAATACATTCATTAAAAAATTATTATTTTTTAGTCTGAAATTAAAGACAGACAAATTTGAAGATACAATCGTACACACCAAATACAGAGATCGACTGAATCAATTGTATTCATATTATATTTTTAATGATTAAACCAAAAGTGTGTCAGAAAATGTGTTGAACTGAGGGTGTACAAATCATTTTTTATAATTTAACTAAACAATTAGTAGTTATTGTTTAGTGTTAAATGACTAACAAAAATATGTTTAAAAATAGTGAAGTGTAATTTTTTTAGATTTTATATTATTAAAATTATTGACTTTATAAAAAATAATAAGAAACTAAATAAAATAAAATAAAATATGCAAGTGTAAATCACACACTCATTTCTATTTTTAATAAGAAAAAATTATATTATTTTTAAATAAAGACAAATCAAAATTTTAATTATTTTATTTAATTAGTAATTTTTTATTAAGCTAACATAAATTTTTTGATGATAAATTAATATAAAAAAAATATAATAATCACTTAATATTATTAAAGAGAAAATACAAAATTTAAACTAATTAGATAATTAGTAATTACAAACAGACAAAAAATTAAATAATTAAAATGGATAAATTTTTTAATAAAATTAAAAAAATTTAAACTTGCTAGTAGTGTAGCACAAAAAATTGTTTAAAGTTGCTTACTCAATTCACTAACGGTTTAAACCATAATTGTTATTTGTTAATTTCAAACAGTTAAATGAAAAATTTTATCAAATAGTTAGCTAGTTTATAGTAGTTTAAAAAATAAATTAGTTTTTATTTAATATAATTGTGGTTTTTAATTTTTAATTTTGGTTTTTATAAATTTTACAACAACTGAAAATCAAAACTAAAAATCAATAATAATTTCTTTAATATGAGTTTTAACACTAATAATATAAAATATAAATGTTTTAATCATATTAAAACTATTTTTATTCTTTTAATAATTATGATATTATGTTACAAAACACATAAAAATAAATAGGTTAAAACCCCTTTTTGGTCCCTGAACTATTGTACGGACCCCCGATTTGGTCCCTGAACTAAAAAAATCCATGATTTGGTCCCTGAACTAAAAAAATCCATGATTTGGTCCCTACTGTTTACCATTTTTACCCCGATTTGGTCCTTCCGTCAAATATCAACCTACGTGTCCCGTTACTTGACGGGAAAATGATGACATGTAAAAATATTTTGACACCTAGGATGTACAGTGCAACAAAAAAATGAGATGGCAAGAAAAAAATCTTTAAAAAATTTGTTATTCCTTTTTTTTTTTCTTCCTTTGTTTTTCCTTTTTCCCTTTCTTCTTCCTCTCCCTTTCCTTTAACCTTCTGCAAACCCTAACTCCTAATATTAAATTCGAGGATAACACAACAAATCAACAGATTAATCTCAATAGATATTTGACCTAGCGGCTGCTGGGTTCGAAACGAAACCCAGAACCTCACTTGCAGGAACTCAGCGGCTGCTCAAACCCACCGCTTGCTGGGTTCGATTTCGAACCCAGCACCTGCAAACGAACTAAGCACCTGCAAAAACCTAGCATTCGAAATTGAAAAATCGAACCCAACACCTGCAGTAACCCAGCAATTGCCTTGCCTTGCCTTTTTCATCACAATCAAACAACAAAATCCAAAATCAATCAATTTTTCATCACAATCAAACAACAAAATCCAAAATCAATCAATTTTTCATCACAA